GGTCTCTCCTGGCTTGGAATTTCTGTCATATGAGTGAGCTTCAATAAGGTCGGTGAGGGCCCTCGGTTCATATCCTGCTGTTTCTGGAAGAGCTTCAGTTCTGTGAATGAAAGTGTGTAGGGGAAGAGTGTACCTGATCTCTCAGACCCATTGTTAGGAATTCAGTTTCTGCAACTGGGAGTTTAGGAGGATGAGGTAATTACTGGTGGCCTGTTTCCTCCTGGTATCCCTTGACTGAATGCTGACTAACCTAAGAGGAAGCCCTATTGTTCAACTACACCCACCCCAAGTGGAGCTTCTATCATGCTGAGCTTGAGGATTGGTGGGGAGGGAGAGGGTTATAGCTGAAATGTCATAGATTCTCTGTTATTCATGAGATTCAGTAAGATTTTCTTGAATAATTTTTTAAGTATATTTATTCCTTCCATGGGAGACAGAGACAGAGAGACAGACCAAGAGTCAAGAATGACTAAGTTCTTAATACCATGACTTACTCATAGTCAGCTAGCCTGCATCAGAGAGGTTCCTGGGATGTGAACCCTGGACCTTTCCTTTGTGGGGCTAGTTGTATTACTGCTGTACCAGTACCACCACATGGCCCCGTGCATTCCTTTATTTAAAAGAAAGTTCAGTTTATTAATCCTCTAATGAAAACACAAATAATCACCACAGGTATTCATGGAAGACTCTATTCCTTTTGTTGTTCTCCAATCTATAGCCCAGTTTGCCAGTACCAACACCAGCCTTCACAGTCCCCTTGACTTTCATCATTCTGTTTTGGTGTTCTTTTTGCTGTTTTTTTGAGGTCTTTTTTTTTTTTTTTCTCTTTCTCCTCATATAGGCCATGTCTTGCAAGTCTCTGTTGGGGTTCTTTTTTTTTTGGATAACCCAAGGAATCATAAATCATGCCAATCTCGTTTTCTTCTACCACAAAATTAGTTCTGAACCCAAATACAATAAAAGCATCGGGTGTGGTCTTGAACATTTCGGCTAATTTTTACCAAATTTCTCTCTCAACTATGGTTACCTTCCCAAAGTGAAGGACATCAATGATCATTTGTTTGCTCTGAACTAGTGAAACCTCCTGGTACTGGCAGTTACTGTGTTTTCATGATGGCGATCGGTACTCAGGCAGCCAGTGGGTAAAGATGAACAAATATTTCTTAACGTGCTGTTTGCACTTCGGATAATGTCCAGAGTCTAAGGCAAGTAATAGAGAGGCAAGACATTTAAGAGATGCAGGAATGGAGGATTGTTTGTTGATGATAACGTGTACGCTAATATCTTTAACTGGACTGGTATGTAGTGTATTTATGCTGGGGAAATTCATTTTTCAAGCTGTTGTGATGTACAGTGATTGTATAAAATAAATTAAAAAGGAAAGGATTTTTTAAAAAATTATTTTTAGCAGTTATGGATGTTTTTCTGGGGATAGTTTCACAGAGTGCTTACTCTGCCCTACTAGAAGTGATGGTTTCTCCTGTAGGCCCTTTGCATTCACCTATAGGAAAAGAGAATGACAACTATCATCTGTATTAGGACCAAAAAATCCTTATAAAAAAGAGAAAGGCCTTATGGGACTAGATTTCTAGCCAGAGCCAGCCAGGGTTTTCCACCTCACTGAATTCGGAAAACTTCCTAACTTTGCAAAATGCTTTGACTAAGCACTAAGCAGCCTTAGGATACTCCACAAACTTTTTTTTTTTTTTTTTTTTTTTTCCTTTCAGCAATATGGGCATTGCCTTTAAAAAGCCTGACTGAATTTTTGCCTCCAAAGTGAAACCTATTTTTTAAAATAATCTTAGGTTCCCTCTTCATTTACTTGATAGCTTGAAGCCATTCTAAATTCTTTAAGCCAGAAACAAATGTATTCACTGAGGTCAGTTCTCCCAGCTTTATGGAGTTTCTGCCCTGGGCCAGATATCAGCATGCCTCTGGGTCTAACAGGGCACTCAAGAAAGATGATAGGATCTATAGTCACAAAAAGCCACTAATTTGGGATTTAGATACCCAATTAAATTCTGGATAGTTGTGTCTCCATCAAGGTCTTTAGAGTGGTCAGAGCTGGTGGTATACATGATTGCACCATGGAAATTATGCCGGTTCCTTTGGTACAATATTCTGTTAAGTGTTTCTAGCTTGCTTTAAAGGCTTCCTAACTTCTCGGGACATCACAGCTCTACGATTGTCAGCTGCCTACACTTCCCTTCTTCTGCTATGGTATAGCTATTAATATCTGGTTGAATAACAATTGGTTCTTCTCATCTATTAATCTTTGATTCTTCTTCGTGGTAATGTGAAAGAGATTGTCTAGGAGATCAGAAATAAATATTGGGAACCTGTTCCTCTACTTGAACCCTCCCACTAGTTTATACATAGTTGACCCCCTGTTTCTTTTCTTGGCTATCTTCCTGCCAGCCCTCACAATTTCTGCTTGGGAGTAGAAATTTCTGCTTCCTGTGTTACCTGTCTTCTCCTTAGGCTTTTATGTTATGCATGTTATTAAGTCCAGAAGCCAGTGCTCTGCCACCATTGGTCATTATGGAGGTTCAGGGCAGTTCTTTGCCATGGAAACTGAGTCTGACTACACTTTTTATGGTGATGTCAGTCCCTTCTTTGGACTTCCAGCCTTTCTTCAGACACTGCTACATGGTAATGCTTCAGGAAGGAAGGCCAGGCTGGGCTGAAGCCCTCACTAGAAATGGCAGAAAGGATGTATAGATTCTGAAGAGGTGTGGATTGTGGGTGAAACTCGGGCTGTGATCTCAGGCCTAATTTTTAAGAATCACATGCTTTGGGGCCAGCAGATGGTGTAGTGGTTACATTGCTGGGCTCCCACCTGGCCAACTGCTGTTCGAGTCCTGGACCTGTTGTCTTCCAGCTCATGCTGAGCACATGTACATGTGTGTCCAAGATCCCAGGAGGAGAAGGGATTGCAGTGTGGCCATTTCCCCAGGGAGTGATTTCTCCCTCTCCCTCTCCCTCTCTCTGTGTGAGAGCACATTCCCTAAGTCAAAACTTCTTAAAAAAAAAAAAATACTTGCTTTGACCTATATCATGGCATGAGTAAGTGAGAAATAGGGTAATTCAAACATCTATTTTCACCTTGATAATCTTCCTTTTAATCTTTTTTTTTAGGATGTAGAAATTAGAACTGTATGTTTACTAACATGCAGTAAGAAAGTATGAGCTTGGGTCTCATTCCTTCTGATGTGTTTGCTCCTCCTTTAATAGTCTGGAGTGCTACAGGAACTCTGTGATTTGCCATTTTTTGGTAGCCTGGGCTTTGTCCTTTCCATGGACTTCTGTGACATCTCCTCAGCTTGGCTGGAGAGGTGGGTGGAGGAAGCCAATCCTCTCCTTTTTGCCTGGTCTATTCCATCTCCACAGTAGCTGCAGAAAGGTGTAGATGTGTCCATGGTGTTTTAGTGACCCCTGTGGGTACAGCCTCCTTATCTGCCAGGTTCCCTACCAGGACATGACCTCTGAAGAAAACACCCCCTCTTTCCATAGGACGCATTTCCTATTGCTGACCGCTATCTCCCCCACCCTTGAACTGCATGCCCAGAGAAACACACACACAGTTCTCCTCCTGTGGTCTAACCACTAATGATCAGCGATATTACAGACTAAAGGCTTAAGGAGGAAGGAGTTCGTTTTCTAACTACCACATAATTTGCAAGGCAACAGTCTCTCCAGCAGTCTGATCACATTATTATGCAGAAAAAATATATAATTCCCTTCCTGCATCCTGCCCCTGCCCTTATTCTCCTCCCCATCCAATTTTAAATTGCAATCTCTAGACCTGCTGGGAACAAGAGCAGGGGCCATTGTGGGACTATATCCTCATCCAAGGCTGCGCCTTCACAGAGAGATGCTTTGCTATTGCTGTTCCATTAGGGAATAGATTAAACTCTTATCTAGGAGTCCGCTTGCCCCTCCATTTCTAAGGGAACAGGAGGGAGGCCGTGGATTAATCCTCCCCTTGCATAAGTATAGGTAATTGATGACTCCTGTGCACAATAGCCAGGTCCCATGGTCTGACAAAGGATTTATTTTTTTCCGCAAATCATGATTCATTTTCATTAAGTCTTACAAAAGAACAAAAATCAAGCTGGATTTAAGCATTTCGTGCAGCATTTTACGAATCACCTTTCCTGAAGAAAAGGAACATTACATAGACTCTCCCGGAAACTTTAACCGGTGTGGTCATCATAGCTTTAAGGTATAGTCCCAAGTTAATTAGGAAAAACATTCTATTCTTTAAGAAATCTCAAGAAAAGAAAATCTTGAATGACGCAGCCTTGTACCCTGGTGAGGCTAAAACTGGTCAAAGGCAGAGCCGGATGCCAAACGATAATTTCTGCTAAATAATGCAGGCCATGTGAACTCTGCTATTTTACTTACTTCAATGAGTATGATGGGTGCAGTTAGAGACTGCTTTTTCTCATGGTGTCAGACACAATGTGCTCTTACTTAATTGTGAGCCCCGTTTTTCTTCGGGTAACTCGTATCTGCCAATTAGCCCTGTGTCCCCAGTGTCTGGCATTAGTAGCCCCTAAATATGTATACATTGAAGGCGGTCACTAGGTAAGTTCGATGATGGTGACCATAAAGGAAGAGAGAGTGCACAGCAAAAACTAGATCTGGCAATAAGGTAGTGTGTAATCACTCTCAATGGAACGAATGGAATGGGATGGGCCAGCTCCATGGCCTGGTGATTAGGGCAGCTGGATCCCACATGGCTAGCGGTTCAAATCCTGGACTCAACAGCTTGAGATACATGCTGGGTGTATGTGCATGCGTGCCCCAAATCCCAAAAGGAGAGAAAAATGGAAGAAAAAGGATGGCAGCATGACCATTCCCAATGGGTCTGCTTTCTCACTTTCTCTCTGTCTCTGTCTCTCTTTTTGGAGAGTAAATACACTGTCCAGCCAAAAAGGAAAAAGTCTTTGGACGTGGGCTTCTGTGTAACAGCTGTTTTCTTTCCACCCACGCAGGGAGGTGACGCTGACATGGTGGACAAGAACAAGTGCTGCACACTCTGCAACATGTCGTTCACCTCGGCTGTGGTGGCCGACTCGCATTATCAAGGCAAGATCCACGCCAAAAGGTTAAAACTGTTGCTAGGAGAGAAAACACCATTAAAGACCACAGGTATGTGTGTGATCAGTGAACCTGGGGAGGCACTGAAATCCAGGCACCGTGCTTGGCATGCGGATCCTGCTCACTCCTCAGAGGCGGCTGCCAGAAATGGAGTGGAATACTAAATGTCAGTTAAAGCCTAAAGGTATGGGCGCGTAGCCCCAGCAAGCCCTGCTGTCATAAAATCATGAAACACTGTTCTGAGGGCTCAGTCTATCAGCCTGGTTCCTTCAGATTAGTAATTCAGCAATTTGCATCTCCTGAAAAGCTGTTTACATCCTGCAAGATGTTGTCTATCACAGCTACTTTATGTTATGTAACGTGTGGTGTCTGTTGGGTTCTTTGTGAGCTCCCGTCTGTAATCAGTGTGGATAATGCACGGTGTACTGTGCGTAACAGGTGGACGCCCTCCCAGTGTCTGTGCAGTGCAGGGAAGGAAACGGTTCTTACCTAGGGCAAGGGGGGCAGAGAGGAAAACTGTAGTCTTTAAAACCACTTTAGATGTCCACTGAATATTATTTTCTGACATGGTGTTCTTGTCATCCATGCAGGGCACCCTGTGATTAAAGCCTCTTAATTTCTACAAGTAAAAACTTAGATATCGATAATGAATTATTTGACCTTCTAATTGCCTAATTTATAAGACTTCTTCAGTGGTCTATCGAATCATAAAACTAAAAAAAAGAAGACAGTTATAATCTAATCAAGATAGACCATTCGGACAAGATTTATGTCATGATGAAGATGCCATTAGACTGGGTTATAATCCCAAGAAGTTGGGGATATATTTCATGATGTCTACTCTTCC